GTAAATTAATAATGAGATTATATTTTATGGGGGTAAAGTGATAATAATTTTAAGGGTTAAACATTTATTTTCACTTTAATCAACAAACTCCGTTAAGTTTGACCGTTAGTCTCGGGAATAAAGTGACTAAAAGATAACGTTAAGGGGGAAATTGATAATAATACTAAACATTAAGGGGGTAAAGTGATAATAACCCTTATCCGGTAGATCTTTGGAGTTAAGTGGCTTGTGGTAAAGCTTGTTGAAATATGGATAATTGAATGAGGGTAGCTCCCACATCGGGGTTGGGGTTGGGTTTGGGTTGGGATATAAGTCCCTGGGATTGCCTCAAGAGTTGCCGGCTTTTGAGGTTAATTCTGGGATTAGGTTTATAAAACAACAAAAGTCTGATTCAGGCTGTTGAAAAAAAAAAAATGAGGGTAGCTGCAACCACCAGCCTTTTGGTTGGTGGCCACCACCAACCTCTTAAAGTTTGGTGGGATGGGAGCCACATAGTTGCTCTTTTAAAAAAAATCCGGGTGTGTAATTTACCCGTTTGACCTAGCGGTGACAGAAAAAAAAAAAAGAATGAGGATAGCTGTAACATACTAGTTGTTATTTGACTATGCGGGCTTCGAGGAATAGTGTTACGAGGGACACAGAAATATAATCGTCCGATTCAAATGACTGCTTAGAATTTCAAAGAAAAATTTAAAAAAAAAAAGGAGTTATTGTCTGAGTTACACTCATTGGAGTCCTATAATTCGAATTGTTTGTACAGAAGATTTGTTTTTTATTTTTACATAATAAGAGTGTTTGTGATACAATTTGAATTGGATTAATATCTTCTCGGCTTTTTTTTAGTGTATTTGTCTATCGTACCAAAAAAAAGAGTATATTTGTCTATTGCCTACATCTACATCATTAAAATTTAAAACATAATCTATGAATATATACCACTTGTTTTATCATGATAAATAGATTAATATATTAAAAAATCAATTTTCCTGTTTAATCTCTATAAAATTCCCGAACAATGTAAAAATCTTTAAAATTGTAACCAAAATTAAGATTATTTACTTAAGTGTCAAACTATTATTACTTCAAATTTGAATTTTCCACGCAACTTATATAAACCACTAAATAAATCAAGTATTATCTTGAAATTTTGAAAGAAAAATTAACTAACTTTCAAAAGAATTCTCCACCTACTCCTAAATGGGAAGTATTTTAGTCAAATGTTAATCAGACAACCACTAGTTTTTTGTATAATGTTAGGCATGAGTTGTGTTCAAAATAGTCAAGGTGAAAAGGATGGTTTAACAGCCATTCATTCTTGTAAGAAAATGTGAATCTCATGCCTTAAATTACAATAACCCAATAAATTTTTGAAATTTGAGTTGAGAAGCAGTAGAAAATGAGCACTATTAGGGCCAACTAGAAGTGGCAATTTGGATTGAGATCCATTTATCCATCCATATAATCCATAAATAAATGGATAATGGATTATCCATTTATAGTATTGGTTTTAAATGGTTGATCAAAGTAAAACCATTAAATTAAATGGATTTATATGGATTATCCACAAAAACCATATATATCTATTTACTTAAAAACCAAATAAAAGAGAGTGAAAGGAAATGACTAAAAAAGGAGCCATCCTAAAATTGTAGTTGGGGTGTGAAAAAGCCATCCCCGTGAATGGTAACCAACCCTGAAACTGAATGCTGGGGTTTACTGCTGAACTAATTAATCATTCCTTTGTTTCTTCTTCTAGACTCCACAGCTATGTTTTCAGAACCGGACCGGATATCGACTCGGTCGAGGTCAGGGGTCAGGGGTCAATGGGTTCGACCGGGGGTCGATAGGGGTCGAACCGGATGACGTCATAAATAAAAATTATTTAAAAATTAAATTATTGTATATAAAATATCCAATAACATATTGATATTAATAAAGGTATATTCATATATATTTGATGTTTCAAATATATTTAACAAGAAAATACAAAGAAATTAGAACAATCAAATAACAATTTATATTATTTAATAAACATTAACAAGTTTAGAATTAAAATTATGGATTTAATTGAAAAATAACATCAAATTTTAGGACAATATTTATAAAGTATGAAATATTTGAGGTATATTAATAAGTTTTCACAATTTAGGGGGTCAAAACATAATATTAAAAAAGTTTGAACTTTTTTTACAAAAACTCCTGTTGGACCGGTTTTTCCGGTTTTGTACCGGTCAAACCCGGTCAAATCCGGTTTTTGACCGGAATTGACCGGGTCTTGAATCTCCCGGTTCTGATGACCAACTCGGACCGGACACTTGACCGGTTCCCGGTTCAACCGGTCGGACCGGCCGATCCGGTCCGAGTTTGAAAACACAGCTCCACAGTACAAAGGGATTTCGATTGGCTTTGAAGAGGTCAGGACAAAGGGAACATGCCCTGCTTGGTACACCCATGCACCTGATTACTAGATGTTGAGTTCAAAAGTCATCCGTGGCTTTAGTAGTAGACATTGCAAGTGTTGTGTGAGCACGAATAAAAGCCAGTGTTGGTATTTTTGTAGATACCCTACATACGGTCTATGTAGGACTTCTATTGTTTGGGCTAGTTTGCAATATATGGCTACTCTGTAATATGTAATATATATAATAATAATAATTTCAGATAGTTTTTTAGTGAAATGAAGGTTCATTTTGCTTGAATTTACATCTGTGGTATTTTGTGGCTTGAATTTATAAGAAATAGTAATACAAAAAAAAAGTAACAAAAATATTTAAATGGATTATAAATGGATAATTGGTTTTTATTTAATCCATTTAGATCCATCCATTTAGATCCATTTATTAAATGGATTGGATAAATTTCATCCACCATCCATTAAGTCAAAATCAATTATGAACCATTTATCCATATTGCCACCTCTAGGGCCAACCACCTATCTTCATCTTCTTCTAGTTCAAATAATTTCAAATCAACATCTTCTCCAATTCTAAGCGAAATTGTCATCTTCATCATAAAAGGCAAAGCAAATGCTATATCATTTAACAAAACAAGGAGGGAAATAGATCAAATTGGATAAAAAAGCATAAGGCTTTTTAAAATATAGGGTCAGAAATAAAATGCCTTCTTCAAATGACACAAACGAGAAAGAAGAAGAAACCATATAGATAATAAAAAGAAAAAGAGGAAGAAGGTGCAAGTATTTGCTTATTTTATATGTAATTAAAAATAAAGAAGTTGGAATGGTTATTCTTTCTCTTTTTTTTCCACTCTAAGACTTCCGAAAACATAAAAAGAAAAAGGATGATCAGTCTAGAGCGAGTGATGAAGTTATCTTGGATGCATCATGCATGGCGGCACTGGTAGAAATAGAAAGGAACGGGTTTCTTAATCTGTGTTTGTTTAGGTTCTTAAGTTTTAAAACATTAGAAATAAATTGTGATTCACAATAAACAAAGGACCAAAAGAACTATTTGATTTATTAAGTTGTGTTTGGAAGTGACCCAATAGTCAAAAGGCCCAAAGATTGTGTTTAAGGTATATTTGGTAGTGGCCCATTGTCAAAAATGCCCAAAATTTTGGACCAATTTTTGAAGAAATAAAAAGATAGGACGTTTCTGGTTCGATTGATTTTGGCCGACACTAATCAATTTTTATTCATTTTCGAGTTTTATATAGAATCAGATTGAAGCAATGGGTAGTTCCCAGTTGAATCGCTCAATTCGATTCGATTCGATTTTACAAACACTAGTTTTAGATAGCCCATATGTCATTTTCTATTTAGTTTGAGATTCTTATTCACTATCATATCAAGACGGCTAATTTATAGGGCAATTCTTAGCATATTTGAGTAGAGAGTGTTAAGAGGATAATTGCACAGTATTGACTCTAAGATGGTTATGTTTCTATAATTACTGTGACTAAATTCATCTATCTAATGCATTATTATGTATGTAGGATAGGATTTTTAGAGTCTTCTGTTAAGTTCAGGATTCAAATATTGTACCTCATACTTAATGATAAAAAGGGTGTGGGGATGGGTGGAAGGATAAAAAAAAAAAAAAAAAGTACGTAAAAATTTTCTACATATTATGAATTCAGAATTAGTAAACCTACATATAGACTATTAAAGGGCCAGAGCAACTGAGCAAGGTTGGGTCCTTCTTTTCTTTCATATCCGTGAAGGGCTACAACTACGAGATTTCCAAAACCTGAGGGAAGAAATTGCAAATTTGCGGACGTTATACTCAGAGCCTAAACAACAGATGTGTTTTTGTGTAATAAAAAAGATATGTGTTAATGGTATAACATCGAATTGTACAAGATGGAATAGAAACTAAGTTTCAACAACCAAATACTCAACCCAAAAGGTTTATTTAGTGCTTAAACAATAATAAATATTAAATAGATTTATTTAGAGGAAAAAAAAAATGGAAAAGCTTACATCACCTAAACAACTACTTGCTCTAAAGGCATATGCCCAATTCTTTTATCTGCTGCAGCTTTGATTCTTCAATTTTAATATCTGTTAATTAATCAAAAATATAATTAATACCTTGAGTATCGATCATTGCATTTAGCAAGGATTTCATCTCAAATTTTGTTTATTTCAGCCAAGTTTGATTCCTACCTTGAGTTGGAAGGCATGAGTTATAACATGGTAAGCTCTAACCATAAATTAAATTGCATGTCTTGTAACATTCCTACCTTAAAACCCTTTATTCAAATGTAATATTTCCTTAAGTTATGCCATAATCAACTTCTTAATGGAACTCAGAGGGAACTGCATCAAAGTACTCTAACATGCTTTGTCTATTAACTCATCTCACATAATTTGCAGAAGGATTCAAATTTGCTACATTTAAACCTGCTCCTATTTGTACTTCAACCACTATAACCGGTATGAATTCTTCTTGGCAATTGCTTCTTTTACCAAAAGCAGCCTGGGCAATAATGCTATATGTCAATGAGAAAAACTTCCTAGTAAGATAAACAACCAATCATTCTTGTAAAGCAATAGCTCTGATCATATTTAAGACAGCTGCTTCCGAAATGGATTGAAATGTAGCAGGAAACAAGAGTTATGTAATCGCGTTTATATAGTACAAAACCATTTTGCAGGTCTCTTTATTGGAGAACAAATTCACAAATCAGAAAGCTTACATTAGAGCATACATTTATAGACTGGTGAGAGTAGTTGAGTTCAGAGCCTTTAGTAATCGTGCTCGATAACCAGATAGAAGGAGGGCGGAAGTAAGGCATGGGAATCAAAACCAGATCCTGTTTTGGGCGGACTGCCAAGCCAAAGGTCTCAGTCATGTCTAGTTGTTCTTGCTCAAATTCTGCAGGAAGCTTCCAATCAAAGTGGTACAACAGTTGTGCAAGAGGTACCTGGATGCTGGTCAGAGCAAATGAGATGCCAGGACAGATCCTTCTTCCTGCACCAATGGGATGTAACTAAAATTCTGTCCCCTGAAATCAATTTCAGAGTCAAGAAATCGCTCTGGGTAGAATTTCTCAGGTTCAATCCAGCGCTTGGGATCTCGCATAATTGCCCAGGCATTAATAATGACTCTTGTTTTCACAGGTATTTCATATCCATATATTTCACATTTTTCGCTACATTCCCTTGGAACTAATAGTGGAGCTGCAGGGTGCAATTGAAAAACTTCTTTGATGACTGCTTGCAAGTATTTCAATTTATGAATTCGAGATTCATCAACGTTTCCTCTGTCTGCATAGATTTCTCGAACCTCATCTTGCACTCTTTTAAGTACTTCTGGATTGTTAATCATTTCAGCAACTGACCACATCAAAGTTGTTGCTGATGACTCGCTCCCTCCACTGAACACGTCCTGAGCAGAATTATCAGAAACCTCAAGCTTAGACCACAGTAAGAGAGGATTAGAGTACACAGAAATAGATGTAAATTATTCTGACAGGAGATCTAAATTTTCGGCATAGGATTTGTATGTAATTCAAAATTCTAAATGATCTATACAAGGTCTTGTTTTCCCTTTGGACTAGTTTTTTGCCATGTTGGGATCTAGATGGAATTGTGTAGAACAAACATTGATGAAATACAATTTACTTACAAAGATGACTGCTTTGATGTTATTATCAGTAAGTGGAGCACTAAATTCCCCAGATTGTTGAATCCTTAGAAGAACATCAACCAGATCCTCCTTTGCTTCTCCATTACCGGGTTTTGATTCCGCTCTCTTGACTCTGTGCTCATTGAGAATGTTTTCAAGTGCTTTATCAGCTATCTTGTGAGTCCTCTGTAGCTTATGCCTCATTCCAGTGATCTTTTCAAGTATTTTGATAGAGGGATACATGTCTACTATGCTGAAACCTCCCATAAGCTTCGTCACATCCTTTATTGCTGACATGAACTCATTGTGATATTTGCTTCTTTTACCATAAACAGCCTGAGCAACAATGCTAAATGCTAGCGATGAGATCATGGTGCTGAGATTGACAGCCAAACCCTCTCGCGAAGAGATTGATCTAATCATATTTGAGGCCTCCTCTTCCCTGATTGATCGGAACATTTGGATCTGCCTTGAACTTAGAAGCTCCAATGTACAAATCTTTCGCAGTTGTCTCCAATAATCTCCATATGGGGAAAAGGCAATATCTGTAGAATTATAAAACAATACATTTGCTGAAACAAGATTAGGACTATATGCAAATATAAGGTCATTGTCATTCATTATTTCTGCGCAGCCTCTGCAGAAAAGACAACTACAGTTGACATTTCACCAAGCTGCAGGTGCATCAAATGTCCATATTTCTTGGCCAAGTCTGAAAGGATCCTGTGAGGAAGGGAGCCAATAAGCTGATGCATGTTGCCAATTATCGGTAGTTGTCTTGGCCCCGGTGGCAGCTTCACAGGCCTAGATTTCCTTGCAATTTTAACTATTGTCAAACAGAATAAGATGAAAACAGAAATGAAAACTAAAAGCTCCATGCTAATCAGTAAAATGATGCTGGAATGTTATTGGCTTAGAGGTGAAATGATCTTTTACAGGTATCAGTATATTCTAATACAAAATTCAGTCTTCTTTGCTTCTATGCTTCAGCAGCTATGTTGGTCATGTATGGATGATGAGATTACATAAACACAGAACCAAGTCCAAAGTTGATTTAATCATAAATCTTACTTTTCCAACAGAACCTAAGAACTGAGCCGCAGACATCCACTGTAGTAGATAAAGACATAATTACGACTTGGTGATTCATGACTAATGACTATATGTACGTTTATATGCAGTATACGCTACTGCTGGTGAAATTGCCTTACAAGGCAAATGAATTCTTGCTCATCAGTGATTAAACAAGTCTAATTCATGTAACCATTGATGCCATGGTTCTGCATAATATCCGGTTTTCATGTAAAACTTGATCAGAGGTATTTCTCGGGTTATATTAGATTGTATAGTTCTTCAGATCGTTCAATTACAAATTAGAAGCAAGGAAAAAAGATGGAAGTATACATATCAACTATCATAGTTACTTGTACTAATATGTGTACTGCTATTTGATTTTGAAAAAGTGAAAGGAAAAGCTTAGTTAGGGCAGGGCATCAAATAATGGAGCCGATCTGTGGAAGCCATCTTATGTGGACTATAGTTTGCTTGGAATTCCGAGTTCTAAAAAGTCAAAGCTAGAAACTGACTCTAATGTGGGCTTGAACTTAATACAAAAAGCTGCTCAGGAGTCTCCTCATTACAATCTGGTTATGCAGATTCAAGAATGTTGCAGGAAAGGTTGGATCTGCCAGCTAGAACACATTTGGGGAGAGGGAAACAATGGGCAGACTTCCTAGCCAAACACAGCATTGATGCAGATCTGGGATTGAGGATCTTAAAAGAACCACCTGAAGCCATCAGGCAGCTAATCGGGGAGGATGTTATCAGGGCAACCATCCCTCATTTTGTTCTGTGTAATTAGGAGCATGTAGCTCTTCCTGTAGACTGAATAAAAGAAAAGCTTAATGATAGAGATAGGTGGCAAAAATCCACTAAGGTTTATAGGAGACATGGGAAGGATGTGTCGAATGCCCAAGCATTGATTTGGCATGCTTTTGATGACAAGGAACCAACTTGGGAGTTGGTTTGAATTCTATGGAGTTTATTTTCTGATTTTCGCCGGCAGGGGTATTTTAATAATTTGAATTAGCTGCAGGAATTTTATGTTTATGGTAATTTTCTGTTTAGTAGTTATTTTTGGTAATTAGTATTTTAGTTGTTATAGGGAATAAGAAAGCTTAGCTTTCTAGCTTTCCACTAGAATTTTATTCTAGTTAGGAGTCCTAATTAGGATTGGAATGAGCTTTGTTCTAAGGTCTATAAATAACCACTTCTCCGCAAAGAGAAGTCAGTTTTTGGTCATTAATAAAATTTTCCTGCAGACTTAACGTCTTCCTTAGGGCTGTGTGATACATCCCAACTTTAGGTGTGAGGCCTAAAGATTCCTAGGATTACCAATCAGTTTTCACCTTCTTAAGCATATTCTCCCATCCTATTCCAAGTTGCTCTTATAAGTTCGGGTGACGTTCAATATCTAAACTTTTCTACAAAGCTAGTGTGCCTACCAAGTTTTCATGCTGTGTCACTCAAAATCAGACATCTCATACATGAAATTGATAATTTGTAGCACCGACAAAGCCTCAATGACTCAATCCTAGCTTCTATCAATGAGGTTTAACCTTGTACAGTTGATTCATGTAGCCCTACTAACAAGACTTGTTCAAACAATACAAATGAAATGTATTTGAGAGAAGAGTTGAGAATGATATTCATTAAAGCTGCATTCGCAATCATGTCAGCGAAATCTAGATAATCAATCCATAGACAAGATTAATATCAGTGCTTAACAAAAGCCAATTTGAGGTGATCAATGCCTCATAGCATGTCTATCAAGTGAAGCAAAGAAAATTTTGTCATCTTCACAAGTCAAATATGAGTAAATTTTATATCCACTGACAGTGTATATCACCATTGGATCCATGACACGTATGCAAAAGTTGGAGTTCAAATTCAAATTTTGCATAATTGTCATTCATTCGATGCTGACAATATAGTGTAGGAAAGATTAATCCATCAAACTATTCTCACTTATAGTCTTAATTTACAAAATAGTCAAGAAAAGCAACCACAACTTTTCAAAATAGCACTTCCGTATACTTGTTCAATTGGCTACATGCACCAAATGGTGGCTAATTACATACAACAAGAAACCCCTATATAATCCCTATCAGTCCTTAACAAAGGCCAATTTGAGGTTATCATGTCTATCAAGTCAGGCAAAGAAAATTTTGTCATCTTCACTGGTCGACAATACTTTTTTCAGTTTAGTCTTAATTTACTCTCACACTCAAGAAAAGCAACCACCACTTTTCAAAATAGCACTTCTATATACTTCTTCACTTGACTACATTCACCAAACAGCGGCTAACCAGGTATGCTGATCTATAGATATCAATTACTACATAGGACCAGGAACCTCTGTATAATTCCTATCACTGCTTAACAAAGGCCAATTTGAGGTTATCAGTGCTTCATAAAATGTCTGTGAAGCGAAGCAAAGAAAATTTTGTCATCTTCACTACTCAACAATGCCAAATATTCTGCAAACTATTTTCACTTTAGTCTTAATTTACTCGAACAGAAATGTGCATTGGCTTAATGGTTTCCTACCCTCATAGAATCCTAACAGACTTGGTTAAGAACTATGGACCTCTGACGCATCTGCAGCTTGATGAAATTGCAGTGCTGGAGGCAAGACATTGTCAACAACTCTCACATAGACAATGTCTGAAATGACTAGAAATCCAAGAGTAATGAAGAAAGCCCAAGAGGAGGTAAAGCAAATCTCTTCGCGAAATGAAAATATTGATGGATTGCGACTTCATAAATTAAATAACCTGCAAGTAGTCATCAAAGGAACACTGATATTGGACCCTGCGGTTCCACTTTTATGCAGTGAAAATTTTGAAATCAATTGATATGCAATACCAAAGACCATAGTCCTTGTCAATGCCTGGATAATTGAAGAGATCCTAAACAATGAAAGAACCTGAGAAATTTAATCAAGATTAATTTCTTGATTCTAAAATCAATTTCAAGGGGTACAATTTTTAACTTCATCCATTTGGTGCCAGAACAAGGGTATGTCCTGGAACATCAATTGTTGTACCTAATATGGAGCTGCCACTTGCACAATTGTTGTACCACTTTAACTGGAAACTCCCTGGTCAATCGAGACAAGAACTAAGCATGACTCAGATCATTGGCTTGGAAGTCAGGCAAAAACATGACTTCAACTTGATTCCCCTTCCTTATTGCCTTTCGTCTGTAAAACAGGATACAAACAGGATATTCTTCAACTGTCCAATAATGATTTGCCATCAAACTTCAAAACACGTTTCTTCAAGTTTTGGAGCAACACTTAAAAAGATTTCTCAGTATCACATGTTTGTTCAAGTGAATGGATCTGGAAAATCTCCACTGTTCCTTTACTCATATCCAAATTATAAAAAGCTACCACAATGCTGACCACTGTTAGTTTTATCTTGATGACCAAATAATTAATATGGCAAATTCAACCCCATTATATTTAACCATTGGATTTGGATGATAATTGGACGAGAAAGAAAGTAGTAAAAATTTTGAAAAAGGATTTAAATGCTTAATCATATGGTTAAATATGTTTGCTTAACTTCTAGTGTTGTATGGCATAGATGTATATTTAAACTGAGTATATTCACAAATGGCTATGATGATACTCTAAATAACACATCAAACCTTTATATATGCTAGCTTCCCTCCTATTAATTATTTATCGTTCACATTAAGAGCACTTAATCAAATTAGAGTCAATGACAAAAGGCTAGAATGATATACCCTACAAATTACATCAGATATCTATAATATAAATATGAAAGCAACGAAAGATCAGGGTATACCATTGAAGCATGAATGGAGTTCCTTATTGCTGTGAGCAAAAGATTGTATCTCTCAAGGGCAGTGGCCTGTCTAGTACAACTTGCATTACTCCTTTCAAGTTACCCAGGAAATGGAAGAGGTGAAAATTTCTTAATCACTGGCTAAATGAGAACAAAATCCTCAAAGGACGCTAAGCCCCAAGGTTCAATCAGAAGCAACATCCAATTCTGTTACATCAGCGACTATAGGAAACACTAGCTTGCAGCATGCAACTGATCTATAGTCATACAAGAAACAGCTGCAGAAAACCTTGCAAGAATGAAACTTAAGTGAAAACTTTTCCAAGACTATTTGATCTGCAATGGCAAGCTCCACCGAGATTCTAACTGGTTTCAGAGTAAAATACACTCAAGTAACAATTTCAATTTCTTTTCCATTGCAAGCTGCCATGGAAAGTACTCTTGGAATTTCTGATACACATCCTGAACTGTGCAGACCTTTGACTAAGATAGAGTAAGTAGATTCATTAGGAGAACATCCTCTTTCCAACATCTCTTCCAGAACTCTTATTCCTTCACTTGCATTACCAACATTGCAAAATCCCTTAATTAACATGTTATAAGTAAAAGCATTGGGACTCAATCTCTTCTCCACCATGTCATCCCATAACCTCGCAGCTTCAGACAATTCCCCTCTCTCACACATTCCTGCAATAAGCGTGTTATATGTCAACTCACTAGGAACCGATCCTTTCTCAAATTCATCAAATAACTTCCTAGCTTCCCATATCTTCCCCTCCTTACATAGCCAAAATATAAGTGTGCTCAATATTGCATTATCCGGAGTAACATTCTTTATCATCAACTTCTTCCACAATTCACTTGCCTCCTCAACCTTTCCTTCCACACACAGAACATCAATTAATTTGCAACACAGAGCTGAGCTTGGCACATTCCGCTTGTCAAGCATATCATTAAGCAAATTAACCGCCTCTCCAGACTTCTTTTCTTTACAAAAAGCTTCAATCATCACCCCGTAAGTAACATCATTTGGCTCAACACCATTCTCCTCCATATCATCCATTACCTTAATAGCATCAACTAACTGCCCTTGCTTACAATGCCCATCAATCAATATTGTGTAAGTCATTACATCAGGGAACCAACCACGGTCATGAATCTCATGAAACACTCTCTTGGCACCAACCAAATCACCCCTCGCTACGTATCCACTTAAAATAGTTGTATAACTAACCACATTTGGCACCACACCCATTGCTGGCATTTCATCTAAAATTCTAATAGCAGCATTAACATCATTTTTCCTACACAAAGCCTTTATCAAAATATTGCAAGTAGAAACATTAGGCACAATATCAAACTTCTTTCGACAATTCTTAAACAAACCATACACCAAATCATAATATTTATTCTGAACCAAAGCATTCAACAGAGTATTAAACGATTTCGCCGACCTTTTAACGCCCGAAAACTCATTCATCTTCAGAAATATCTTAAGGGCTTTTTTGGGCTTACTTGCAATCCCATAATTCCTGATCACAACAATGAATAGATTTTCAGCACAACTGATTCCAGCCCTTTTTAGTTCATCCAAAAGGGTCTCCATATCCTGAAAGGCACGGGCGCGGGAGAGCTTCTGGATGATGAACTGATAGGTCTGGTAATTATGCGAAAATTTGGGGTGATATTTTCCGGCATGGTGGAAAATTTGCAGGGCGAGGTTAAGGTCATGCTGACAGGAGATAAGGGAGATTAGGCGCTTGTGGGAGAGGTCCTTTGGCCAGGGATTGATTGGAGGAGTGATGGTGTAGGACTGGAGGAGTTGGGACTTGGATTTGATGGGGGATAGGTGGTGAAATGATGGATGGGACTTGAAGGGGTCATCAGTTTCTTTGTTTTCTTGACTATCAGGGGAGTTTTTGGTGGAGAGAAACTGAGTGAAAGTGACTGAGGGGAGGAAAGAGGTGGGTGAACTGGTGGTGGAGGAGTAGAAGCGGTGGAGGAGTGGAAGTTGCCGGTGAGGGAACATGGTTGGGGAGTTGTTCGGTGGGGTTTACCGGTTTAAGGAGGTTTTAAGGCTTTTTTAGCTCACCAGTGGGAGGTTGCACCCAAGATTCTTGGCCAATTTGCTTAATGCTAGCAGATAATACATCACTTTTTATAATAATTAAAAAGTTTTTTTTTTCTAAAGTGATCTTTCAGCTATTTCTCAATATATATATATATATATATATATAAACACACACATCTAAGAAAAACGGTGCTCTCTTTAGCTAATATGCTAAAAAGGATAGTGATGAAAATGCAATCCCTAAAACTGCTCTAGAACCATTAGTAACATATTGAAATCTTAATAGTAAATAAGGATAATGATCAGAACTTCAATCCCTAAAAATGCTTTTAGAAACCATTAGTAACATATTGAAATTTTAAAACAATATGCATGATTTCTAATCTTTTGGCATTTAAGATTTACTAATCACCTTTAAAGAAAAAAAAATGTGAAGCTTAGGGCACATCTATTATAGGGTCGGAAGTGATCAAACATAAGGAAATAGACTGAAGTTAACATAGAATTTGCCAAAAAAAATAATCATAATAATATTTGAAGATTTAAGAAAAATTATTAGATGCTTTTCTTCGTATTATATACCATTGGGATGCTAAAGAAAATACAAATAAATGATAAGAAAAGCAAGATGTATGGGAGATTACAATGATACTAAAGCCCTCTTTGAAGTTACGGTGCTTTTGATAAAAAAGTATTTGTACGCGCTAAAAGAACTTTTAAAGTGTCTGGTGAATATCATCTCATAAAATAATAGTAGAACTTTAGATCTTGAAAGCACTTTTGGCAAAAGCTGAAATTTGATACCTTTAAAATAACTTTGGTAATTTAAAAAATAAAATATCAAATTTAATCATTTTATACTATATTATAAACCAAATAAAGAGATAAATAATTTAAAATTTTTTTAAATTACACATTATTCAATATAATAAGTACTTATTATTAAACTACGTTTTCAAATAATATATTTAAAATCATTTAAATATTTAATAAATAATTTTATTAAAAGTTCTATTAAAAAAGTACTTTGTAACAACCTACCTCGATCTCAAACGTGCCTAAATACATACAAATTGGGTTCAAACACACGCTTTTTTTTTTTTGTGTGGAGTTCAAGATAAACACAAATGCCAATTTAACCATCTACCAAAAAAGGGAAGAAAAACTTTTGCTTTTTAATGCAAAAGGACCAAAAAAGAGAGTAAAGGAAAAAAATACTTTCTTTCTTCATAAACCTTCCGAGCCTAAACTCACAACACAAACATAACGTCATAACCTTATGCTTAACAAAACCGAGAGCCCAAAAACCTTAACAAAACCTTTTACAGCAGCTACATACAGGCAGGCACTCAGCAGCAAGTGCAAATCACTGTTCTTGCTGATTGCTATCAATTTTGTACAGAGAAGAAGAAGCTTCTTTTCTTGAAACTGAATGGAACCCATATGCCCAATTGATAGCAGCTGCTCCAACCAAATCTCACTTCTTCTCAATCCCCCTTCTCCTCCCCAAGTCCAGGCACTGACCCTCAATCTCTATTTCTATCTATCAACGAATATTTATGTATCTTTATGCATTATATCTCATGTTGTTTCTGTTACTTATTGTTTTCTTGTGAGAGATTTGCAGAAATATTTTGAGGAGCTTATAAAGACTAGACAATCTTGTGGGCTTGAAGTTAGAACCAATGGGAAGCATGGAAAAGGTGTGATTTATACTATTGTTTACTCCTTTCTTTGTGGTTTTTTCTTCACTATTTGGAGACCCCATGAGAAATTTGTCAAATTTTCAGGGGTTTATGCTAAGGTAGACTTCAAAGAAGGGGACCTTGTTTTGAAGGACCCAGTGCTCTTCGGAATCCAACATTCTTCAAATAAGGTTCAATTATCGAAGGAATAAAAAAAAGTTAAAAGTTATATTCTTTCGTCATTTTTTATAATATTTGTTTCTTTTTTTTGTTGTTTCTTGAATGTTGCAGATGGATTGTTTAGTATGCAGTCACTGTTTTCAGTTTATAGGCTCAGTAGAGCTTCAAATAGGGAGGAAACTGTATCTACGAAATTTAGCTGATGCATCAGGAAGTAATAGTGGAAAGAGAAAATTTTCAAGCGCTTTAAAAGATTGTAGCGGTCAATGTAATGAATCACGTGATCATGGTGATTCAGATGTTGAAGAATATGATGTGGACCGATGTGGTCTGAGCGATTCCAAAAGTAATACTAATGTTATACCTAAAGATGTTATAGACTCGCTTATGGAGGGCGGCCTAAAATTGCCTCATTCTGATATTGTCTCATTGCCTGCGGTTGTGTCTTGTCCTGGTAAATGCAAGGAAGCATACTATTGCAGGTATGTATTTTGATATTTTTTAACTGCTTGATGAAAATACTACCCATATTAATGTGCATTTTGAGGATTAATTGTCAATTCTGTGTTACTTACCGATTAAAATGTTAATCAACTAAGGTCTAGTTTCAATTAGTATTTGGACTTCCAATTTGGTTTCAAATTATATCCAGTCTGAAATTTTCTTACCTTTTTTTTTATTTTTTGATTTGTCAAGGCAGATTGATGATGACTGGGTAATGCTAGTTTTTAAATACTAGTATCTAGCAAGAAGGTTTATGAGATTTAAATGATAGAACGCAAATTATGACATAGAGATCTGAAATCCAAATGGTTATCAGGGCATGTCTATATGAACCAGAAAGAGTCCCTAAGGAGCATTTTACAAATACATATGAAAACAACTGAGAAACGTAAGCCTCTGGAATTTACTGATGTATTTAATGATATAATAATTCCCATCCCAAATGGCAAATATTTTGAAGATATGGATTTTGGGTGGTATGCCCTTTTGCAATTGCCATATTATCATAACATCTTGTTTAGGAACATGCTAAATATTGTAAACATCGAGATGGAATTTTGGATGTTGCCTCCAGTAGAGACAACAAGATCAGCTATAGAGCTTCAGATTTCATGGTTAAAACACAAGGAAGAAAAGATAAGAATGATCCAGACAATGGTTATTTGTCAGTTTGCAGAAAGTCTAGAATCAAAAGCAAACATTTAGTTTTGTTTAAAACAGTTATAATCCGAAGTGTGGAAATAAAGGTAAATTCCAGGTTGCTAATCCAGTTATTGACAATGTAAATTACCTTAGATTGTAATGTATATTCTTTCACCTGAAAGATCAAACCACGCACTGCATCTAATTGTATTTAGGGACCAATCTTGTTTTTCTTGTCAATCTTTGTAATCTATGCTATTATTTTTTGTGAAGTAGTACTGACTCATTCAACTGTCCCCATGGTGCCAAACTTTTAAAGCCAATCATGTGCTGAGGCTGATTGGAACTTGTATCACTCTTTGCTTTGTACTGGGAAGGGATCCAAATCATTGAGCACTGAGGCACTTTCAGTATTCATACAACATGCTAATGGTAACAGGCTGATAGCATGTTAGCACTAACATTATTAAATATGTTTTCTTACTACTTTCATCATATTTGCTCATCTCTTTCCTATTTCCAGAAACAAACGATATCTTCCTTCTTGCTGCCAAGGTAGGTTCTCTATTTATTTCACCTGCCTTTATTTTCCACTTATAGATTTCCTTGCAAATATCATATGCTGTTAGAGACAAGCATGTGTAGGTGCCTGGTGGTGAAATTAAGCGTATATGGTGACTTGGGTGGGCTCACAATCAAAATACCATAACGTAATGATCAATGTGTTTTTGAAGATATAAGGAGAAAAACTTAAGCCTATAGATGATATTGCAATTAGAGCTTCATGAAATAAAGTTGGTTAGCAGGATGAAACTTAATTCCCAACAATGGATTGCACAAGTTGAATGTCTCCAATTTTCCCTCTTTTTCTTTATCTGAGGGCACATTCAATAGAATAAAAAGGAATAATATGCAATTTACAATTTCAATTAATTGAGGAATAGCATGCTGTTGACATTAGACAAGAGGATCATTGTATGGTTTGGGTTTTCTTTTTTAGGTGATCTCATTCACAATTTTGAGGTATAGGAAGTTGAAGACGGTTTATTTTGAAGAAAAAGAAAAGCATGATGCTCCCAGTATTTTGGGCAGTTGTAACTTTTCTCTCTTGTTAGAGGCATGGGAGCCTGTGTCAATGGGATATAAGAGAAGGTACCAAAAACTTTTACTCTCCAAATATATGCGTATTGCTGTTGAGAAAAATTTTTGACTAGCTTTACTTTTTGTGTTTTACCATATTATCAGGAGCTAGTTGAAAACGTTTCTGGTCTTCATTTATTACTTGCATTCTTCTGTCCATTGTGTGAAGAGTAATGTTTCTTAATGCTCCAAAAGAAAAAACATAGATCTCTTTTTATGATTTGAGGGAATTGAATTTTATTCATGGGAGACTCATGATCACTTGCACTAGTATGGATGAAGAAAGGTTTTCAACATTGGATTCAAAAATGTTGCATATGCTCTATTGGTTGTTTCCCAAATTCAAGAATATTTTCTGAGTTTTCATTTGGTTTTAGAATATGGTGTCAATGCTGTATTTTGTCTTTTGTTGGAAAGAAAATTTGTGCAATTAGTGCTTTGTTTAGATACTTAAGTTTCACTTTTATCAGTCTTTGAAAAGTTGACTATTGTTATATGAGAACTTGCTGGAATTTTCCAGCTTATGGATATCAGCTGATGCAAATGTTTACAACTATATTTAGATAAACTTCACAGATCTAAGAACTTCTAACTTACTCTATGTAAAAGGTCCTTCAGATTGTTTGCATTGTTGGTACATATTCTACAGCGCTTTTTCTTGTTATGTTTTGCACTCAACTCAAGTGTGCATTTAGGTGGTGGAACTGCATTTCCTTGCCCGATGATGTCGATTGCCATGACGAGGTTGCATTTAGGTTGCAAATAAAAGAGCTGGCATTTACGGTAATTCCCTTGAGAGTGATGAGGTTACATCTGCATAGACAAAGATGCACCAAAAAATATTCCGGCATACTTTAGATTGTTTAGTAAAATTAGTGCAGCTAGAA